CTTTGGGGGGGGGGGAGGTCTGTAGAGGGAAGAACCTGTGTCTGAAGAGTTCTGCTCTTTCTTTTCCTTTTATGCAGCAAAAGCATCTACATGGTCTTGGGCCACCTGGAAATCTAGGACTCTTAAACACTTGATTGAACTAGAGGCTTGTAGATACCCATTGTGTGCTATCCAGTTATTCCTAGTCTATTGCTTTGCTCCCAGTGCAGTGAGAGGGCATGAAGAGTCTGAACTCTGCAAGTGGTAAAGTTAGCAGCTTTGCCTGCAGCTGACTGCCAGCTTTCATGACTGGGATCCTGGTTAAAGATAAAGGAAGGAAATGGTCCATTTTGAGAGTGTAAAGCTGGTGTATAGGAGGCCTGTTACAGCTCTGAGCTTTTGGAAGCCTAAAGAGGGGCTGGAGCTCCCAGATGAGACTAAAATAAGCAGACAAGAAGCTGAAGTGACTCCTTGTATCTCTGTGTTAACACAAATGGTCTCCAGTCTGCCCTATGATTTGGCAGTGCTGCTGTCACTACTCACCAGCATCAAAAAACATGAGAGACTAGAGCTGTGAGACAAAAGAATTTGAGACAAACAAAGGGTGTGTTTAGTGAAGGGCCCTTGAGTGAGTGAGGCTGCTTATTGCATTATTATAGTACTGAAGTCCCCTTGTCTCCCATGTCATAATATAGCAGGGTGGGAGAATAATTCAGTCTCCCATTTGTAGTTAATTGGTGACTGTCACAAATAGGAAATAATGAATGTCTGTGGTGGTAGCTGTCAGCTAAGGACTGCTATTGAGCTGGAAGAGAAGAGTGGGGTGAGGGCGAGTCAGACTGAGAATTAATTATATGGAGAAGCTAGAGAATCTAGGCATGCATCCTCTAGAAAAGGGATGACCCTCCTGAAGTAGATGCATCTGTCTGCTGCTAGCCTTAAGGCTGTTATACAGATGAACTTGTCAAACAAACCATGAGCACAAATTACAACTAATGAAGGGGCTGTCTAGACGACATCTTTTAACAGAGCATAGCTGATACATGAGGAAAGACTTTCCAAAGGTAGTTCATAGGAGCCATTAGTGGAGAAGCATTCAGAGGATAATAAAAACTGGTGCGCTTGGTAATTTCCTGACTGTGTGGTGGGTTTTTTTTATTGTTCATTTCTTTCAGTGGACTGTGCTGCGCTTCCATAAATAATCAGTGGAGATGATAGCCTGAGATAAGTGTCCCCCCTGGCCTGATCTGGAAGTCCTGTAGCAGACTGTCTACTTTTTTTTTTCTTCCCTGTGAGAAGAAAAAATGCTACTGTCCTCCAAACCTCTTATGCTGACACTAGCCATTCATTCCCTTCTTGGTCACACTTTTTTTCCCCTCCCACTTTCTCAAAATAGGTCACTAATAGCTTCAAAACTCAGCAGATACAGCCTGGCACATCAAGGGCCTGCAGCAGCTCTCATCTCTGCCAGAATTAGGGATATGAAGGGAGGTGAGGCTGTGATGCTGAGCCTGGGCAAAGCCCAAACTCCATGGCATGAACCTTAAAGGATTCTGTCATATATAAATGCAAACCATGTTTCATCTCTGTGAGGGGGAGCACTTGGTTCTAACTCTTTAAAGACTCTTGTCAACAGTGGGTCCTGGTGGCAAGTGCAGGATCATCCTCTGGGGCACTCGTGCTGAGGTCTGGTGATCCCTGCAGCAACCAAAGCCCTGAATGTATAATGTCCTGGGTGGAGGGGAAATTTAAGAACTGTAAGGGTGTTGTTCAGCAGGTGTGGCCAGGGCTGGGAGCCGAGATTGGGTTCAGCTACTTTTCCTTTGGCATTGCTAAGATGTGTCCATTACCCATGAAGGTATGAGAGTGTGATTGCCACTCTGTGTGAGAATCTGGACTCCCTCGATGAGCCTGAGGCCAGAGCTGCCATGATCTGGATTGTGGGAGAATATGCTGAACGAATTGACAATGCAGATGAGCTGCTCGAGAGCTTCTTGGAGGGGTTCCATGATGAGAGCACCCAGGTAAGGGACTGGGACTAGAATGCTTGAGGCTCCTTCCCTGCCCCACCTCTGACACATCTTGATGAGATATAGAGGTCTTGACCTCTGGTACAGCTTAGTACCTTTTTGGCTCTTCAGATACCTTTCTCCTAGAGTTATGGCCTCTCCAGGTGAGAATGGTGTAATCCATTGGCTAGGCCACCATTTGGGAAAGCTTACTTTACTGCTGCTCATGCTATACTTGTTTTCTAGATTAGAGCTCTTGCCTCCATCGTATAGGCCTGAGCTGCAGGTTAGTTTACAGGTCAGTGGACATCTGGAAGGATCCTGGGGATTCTTGGTGATGTTAACTCTTTTTTGTTATATTTCTACTAGTAACTTGAAAGAATTGGGTGCTGGGTAGCTCCATGGCAGGGTGCAGTACCTGGGAGGCAGAATGCTGTGAGTTTAGGTTCCCATGGCTGCCTCTTGGGTGTAGCTAAATGGTTTCTGTCACTGGATGCAGAATACTGGCCAAGATGGACCCATGGGCTGACCTAGTAAATGGCAGTTCTTATGTTCTTTCAGTTGGAAAGCAGGTGGCTTAAGTGAACAGCTCTTAGTGGTGTTTTGCTGTGCTGAGCTGAACAGAATTACTTAGTTTACTGAAGCACTGCAAAACTAGAGACCTGCTCTTTGTACTCTCCTGGGCAGTAACCTGCTGCTGCTTTGGGTTCAGAACACAACAGTCCCATTCATCTGTGTTACATTGGTAAACTACTAAGATAAATTATTATAGACCTTTTTCTTCAATCTCTACTAGCCTGGAGGATTCATATCAGGTTGTCCTTATTCTGGCCTTACTGTGTGATCTTGAGCAAGTCAGTTAAATTGGTGTGTCTTGTAATCACCATTTTATATATGGGAAACTATTTTTCAACTTCCCTAGACAGGGGGGATAAGCCTGTTCTTATGAAGTTTGGAATTGCTGTGGTTATGGGTTGGAACGTAGAAAAGCCAACATCAGTATTAACTTGGTGCCTACTGAGCTCTTACTGGTTGAAAGCCAGTTACTGTTAAATTGGTAGTCTTCTGGACTTCTAAAGCCAGAAAGCACCAAGATCACCAAGCCAGAGGTGTTGCAGTAGTTCATACTGTTTATTCCTGTACTGAGGCTAAATGTGTGGCTGAAGTTGTTATTAAGGGTTGGGCTAAAGTCACAGAAAATAATTAGTTGGTTTAAGGAGGTGTATGCCTGTTATCTCACCTCACTTGACTGATGACTGGAAAGCATCCAGTGTGCTTAGCCAAATGGCACTGGATTAGATTTTTGCACAGAGATGGAAAGAGTTCCCAGGCATGGTATGCATTGCAATTACTGGGAAATGCATGTCTCCATCAGACTTAGGCATAGGAGCATCTGAAGCGCATGCAGTCTCTCTCTGCCTGATCCCAACCCCTGCTCTGCTCTGTTTTGTTCTCTGTAGGTCCAACTGCAGTTGTTGACAGCAATTGTGAAACTCTTCCTGAAGAAACCCACAGAGACTCAGGAGTTGGTGCAGCAAGTACTGAGTCTGGCTACTCAGGTGCGTGATAGGGCCTTGTATGTTAGAATGTAACTTCCTTTTTCTCAGCAATCTTTCCTGTTTCTTGGGTTTGCCTGCCCTCTCCAAAGCAGTGGGATGGGTAAATAGCACCAGTGGCTGTCCGAGTGCAAAGACTCTCCACAGCTGCTTAGTTTTGCTCCACATGTTGATGCAGACTACTACTTAGAGCAGGCTTGCAGGAGGGGCCATGTGACTAGTGTACAGCTGCACCTGAGAGTTTTGTTGCCCTGGTACCAACAGGATGGAGGAGCATTGGGCTGCCACTTAGAATTGTTATTCTCCACTGCATCCCAAGACAACGAAGCCCATCAAATCCCCTAGCAGCAAGTATTGCTGGCCATCACGGGACGTGGCTGAGTCCCTGTACTGAAGAACTGTTGGCCCTTACTGCAAGGTAGAGAGAGAGCGTCTAAATGGGCATATACTATGAGAGGAAGGTGGGCATTGGAGAATCGTGGACCTTGACATGTTGAGCTCACATTTCACGTACCCCTTATCTACCTGAAGAAAATGTCACTTACTGAGTCTGGGTCATAGATTTCATAGACATTAGGGCTGGAAGGGACCTCATGAGATCATCAGGTCTAGCCATCTGCCTAAGGGGCAGGAAGTCAGTTGGGGTCAGATGATCCTAGCAAGATAATTATCAAAGCATTTGTTAAAAGTATCCAGAACAGGTGCTTGCACCACTTCTGAGGGAGTCTATTCCATACTCTGGAGATTCAGATGGTAAAGAAGTTACTCCTTCAGTCTAAAATGGTCTTCCAGCAGTTTGTGACCATTGGACACTTGTCTTCCCTTGGGGTGCCCTGGTGAACAGACGTTTTCCCAGTTCCTGATGCACACCCCTCCTATACTTACAGGCTGCCACCAAATCACACCTGAGTCTTTGCTTTTCCAGGCTGAAGAGTCCCATGCCTCTCAGCCTGTCCTCATAAGTCCTGTTCTCTTGACTTCTGATCGTGTGGGTCTCTCAGTCCTTTGTTCATCTTCATGTTACTTAACCTGTGGTATCAAATTCTGATACCCAGATGCTACTGGAAAACATTGTTCTGCTACTCTGAAGGCTGGCAGTGATGTAGGCCTGTTTTGAACTGTGCCTTCAGTGGGGTTTTGGGGGCTTTCATTAAAAGTTGGGAGAAGCAGTCTTGCTTTGTGAGGATGAAGTGCCACTTTTGGCAGGTTAGGGGAGGCAAAATGGGGGGTTTTGTCCTTCATAGTGAATCAGGAAGGCAGTGCTGAGAACTACCCATGAAACCATTCAGCTGCTGTCCTTTGGCAGTTGTGAAGGGCTCTGAATGCCAAGGAACAAGCAGATCTGCGTGATCTGCACCAGCAAGCATGTGATGGAGGACTGTCACTTGCTGTGTGTACAGTGTGCAGTGAGGCCAGGAGCCCCTAGTCAAACTGACCTTCTGGGCACTGCTGCAGCAAGGGTTTAGTGTGCCCTTTCAGCTAGGAATGGCTCTATGGAAATGAAGGTTTGGAGATTTTGGGGGTAGTTTTGTGAATAGAATGGAGATGGTATGAAACTTGCTGTTCATGCACTTGAATGTTGAACACATTCATATGAAATATAGCGTATTAAACCTCTCTTTCAAGACTTTGCAGTAATTTCACATCTTAACTCCCTTTTAGCCTGTTCTTTCTTTGCAGCAGCCTGACTACTAAAATGATTGCAATCAGGATTTTGAAGAGTGGGGGAAGGGGTTGATGCTTCTGTACCTGTCCCAGGAGGTTTCTCGTCATTATCCTGAATGGAATCCTTGCTTTAAAAAACACAACAAAATGGTTATAACTCATCTTGTATCTGCAGCTGACAAGCACAGCAGAGCTGGGCGTCAAACTTTCTGTTCTTCCCTCTTCCCTCACCAGATACCTAATGGTTGGGGTTATATTTGGGCATTTGATCTCCTTGAGGGATGCTGTAAGACTAGTCCAAACCTTTCCCCCACTAGGTTCAGCTGTCATGTGAATTGTGTTCATAAATGTTTCCCAAAGGACTCTGATAACCCAGACCTAAGGGACCGAGGCTACATCTACTGGCGTCTGCTCTCCACTGATCCTGTGGCTGCCAAGGAAGTGGTGTTGGCAGAGAAACCCCTCATCTCAGAAGAGACGGACCTGATCGAGCCTACCCTGCTAGATGAGCTGATCTGTTACATTGGCACTCTGGCTTCTGTCTATCACAAGCCCCCCAGTGCCTTTGTGGAGGGGAGCAGAGGTGTTGTGCACAAGAGCTTGCCTCCACGAACAGGGTCGTGAGTACCTAAGATGTCTCTACTTGTTTCTGGCTGTCTCTTCTTCCCAGATCATATTTGCCTTCTCCGCACTGTGCCTAGAAATGGCCTGGCATTTGATAACCGGCTGCGAACAATGTTTTTAATACCCTTTCATTTCACTATGGGGCCAGACTGTCTCCATGCTCTGTAGCTCACCTGATACACACTGAAGCCTTGGCTTCCGCAGTGTTGTACCAAACTTTCTCTTCTGCCTTCTGTTGCATACTATGCTTTTGTGTCTTAGGAAGAGAAGGTGTATGTGGTAAAAATAGTAGGTATGGCATGAATTAAGCAGCTGCCTGTTTTAAGCCCATGATCCCTTCTGGGCACTCTACCGTATCAGTTCATGGATTCTAAAGCATAAGGACTCATGTTGGGAGGGAATGTCAGTGGCTCGTTGACCTTGGCTGCTGGAATGAATTTTACCCTCTTCAGTGAAGCCTCTGGCTTATCAGGTTGAAACTAAAAGGGGTGTAATATATTTCACTTTCCTCTTGCTGCTTTCTCTAGGAGTGAAAGTGCAGAGAGCCCTGATGCAGCCCCAGCAGGAGTTCAGCCTTCAGAGCAGCCAGCTGTCATCCCAACTCAGGGTGATCTCTTGGGTGATCTCCTGAACCTTGACTTGGGCCCACCAGTGAGTGGGCCTCCTATTGCTGCATCTTCTGTGCAGATGGGTGCTGTGGATCTCCTTGGAGGCGGCTTGGACAGCCTGGTACGTCATTGTTTTTGCTTGACTGTGTTCTAATGGACTGTAAACTGGGGCGTTGGTAGTCTGTCTGACAGATGTGGTCTTTGTGTTTCTAGGCTTTATTAATAACATAGGCTGCTCCAGATAGGAGGAAGCATCCTCCTAGTGTTTGGAGTCTGGAGCATAATTGCCTTTAACTCAGGTCCTATTGAGAGCTTTGTCTTCCATCCAGTTGTATGTGCTCTAACCTGCCACAGGGCTGGAGCTGCAGTTACCATCCTGGGACTGACGTTTGCACTTGGAGCATGTATTACTGAATGGGAAGCAGCAGGCACTTCATGGTCTGTTCTTTTAACCATCACACTTTCACAAACGGACTGGAAATCACCAATGGTGCAGTCAGCATGTTGGCAAGGCGTGTGAAGTTCAATCAGTTCTCCAGTCTTCCAGGAAAAGTTGGAGCACTAAGCTGACATGAGGCAAATTTAATGAATGTAATGCTGCCTATGTGAGGCATGAAAGGAAGTGTGGGAGCTGCCTGTGAGCTGTTGACTTGGCCTAGTTACTTGTCTGGCATAAAGATTTCTTGCATCTTCTCTGTTAGCAAGTGGGTACCATGATAGTGGTCCTTACCATGAAAGGAGATCTAATGGTGAGTCATAGTTTCATAGATTTAGGGCCGGAAGGGACCTAGTAGATCTTCTAGCCCGACCCCCCGCCAGGGCGGGAGAACAACAAAACCCCAAAACAAGAAACGGGACTCAAATGAGTCCAGCCAGGTAGGCATCCAGCCTCTTCTTAAAGACCCCCAGGGTAGGGGCCAGCACCACTTCCCTTGGAAGTTGGTTCCAGCTCCTAGCCGCCCTAACTGTGAAGTAGTTTTTGCGGATGTCCAATCTATACCTCCTCTCCATCAACTTGTGCCCATTACTCCTTGTTATGCCAGCGGGCGCTAGGGGAAACAGCGTCTCCCCCAAACCCTTCTGGTCCCCCCTAGTGAGTTTATAGACGGTCACCAGGTCCCCCCTCAGCCTTCTCTTGTGGAGGCTGAATAGGTTCAGGTCCCGCAGTCTCTCACTGTAGGGTCTGCCCTGTTGTCCCCGGATCATGCGGGTGGCCCTCCTCTGGACCCTCTCCATGTTGTCCACATCCCTCTTGAAATGGGGCGCACAGAACTGGACACAATACTCCAGCTGTGGCCTGACCAGCGTCGCGTAGAGGGGGAGGATCACCTCCTTGGCTCTACTCGAGATGCACCTGTGGATGCACGACAAGGTCCGGTTAGCCCTGCCAACCATGACCTCGCATTGTCGGCCCATGTTCATCTTGGAGTCAATAATGACTCCAAGATCTCTTTCTGCCTCCGTGCTCTCGAGTAGGGAGTTCCCCATTGTGTAAGTGTGCTGCTGGTTCCTACTGCCCAAGTGCAGCACCCTGCACTTGTCCGTATTGAAACGCATCCTGTTCCTGTTAGCCCACCCCTGTAACCTATCCAGATCCCTCTGCAATCTCTCACTCCCTGCTAGCGTGCTCACTTCCCCCCAAATTTTGGTGTCATCAGCGAATTTAAACAGGTTACTTTCCACCCCATCATCCAGATCCAGAGTCTGGTACTTAAGTTCAGTAGCCAATGAAATAATGGGTATGCCTGGAAAAAGGGGTGCAGATCTGTCCAAAATAATGGGTCAGAACTGTCAGTTTGGAGGGATGGAGTTGGCATGGGATAGTGTGTGGCCAAACTAGAGGAAGAGCTCTGCTGTGGAGAAGTGATGCAGGGTGCAAAGATAAATAGTTTGAGCCAATGCAGAACATCACTGTGGTGCTGCGCTATGTCCTAGGGGAGAAGGGGTCTGTCTGGACACCCACCTTGTGCTACAGCTGCCAGGTGGACACTGTCTGTCAGGTGTATTGAACAGCTTTGTTTGACTAACTTCTGTTCCCTCCACCCCTTCTTGTCTTCCTGTTTGTCTCTCTTTCTCCTGGCTTGTCTCTCTGCATGTGGCTGGCTCATCTCTTCACCTTGCCTGCTTCTGCTTGGAGATGGGGGACGAGTCTGAAGGGGTATGGATCAGCCCTTTTTTTTAGCCCTCTAGAACATACCTAGCCAACATCCATGTCCTCCCCTCACCTCCCCTTCCCTCTTCACAGTAGCAAAAGAGGAGCAGGTGGAGTTTCTGCACCTACTGCCATGCCTGGAGCTGGGTATGAAGAAACTCCTTCAGTTAGCTTGATTCAAGGCAGGCAGACCTTCATTCATGTAGTGCTGCCCACCTACCCTGTGCTGTTTCCCACTGGAAGCCATAAACGCTTAACTGGGGGAGGGGAGGGAATTATTCCACACCCAGAGACCCACATTGAATAGAGGATTCAGTAGTAGCTGATTCCTATATAGAGAAACTGGTGCTAACCATAGTAGCAAATGAGCTCCCAGCTGCCTTTTAAACTCTGGTCTCTCTGCCTTTCTCTGTCTCTTGCTCTTGGTTCATGTGTGTGCAAGCTTAGCTTGTTAGATGTTGGCTAAAAAGCAGATCTGAAGTAGACCTTGAAAATGATGCATCCCTGGGATAAGCCCTGGGGCTGGCTGTTCTCTTAGGCAAAGTGGGTCAGGAATTGCTCCAAAGCCCTCCATGAAATGTTTCATGGCCACATGTGTTGGGCACCCTGAGTTGGGTTCCCTTGCCTCTGCTCCAAGTGATGCGTCTGTTTCTTGTCTCTTTGCAGTTGAGAAGCGATGTGGGAGGCAGCCCTGCAGTGAGTGTGCACCTTCCACATTTACCTGTCTGTCACATTTTGCACACTCCATTTATTCTCTTGTTCTCTGCCTGGTGCCTAATATAACTTGTTTCCTTGTTTCACACAGATGGGTGGCTCTGGCTTTGCAGCTCCCAGCACTGTGGTGCCTGCAAACCTTGGGGCACCCCTCAGCAGTGGCTTGGGAGACCTCTTTGATCTGACTGGTGGAGTGGGCACTCTGTCAGGATCCTACGTGGCACCCAAAAGTGTGAGTAGAACAGTTTCTACTGGTTGCTGCCAATATACTAGGTCCATATAGCTCATCTCTAACAACTGGGTTTAATACTGCAGCCATTTTAAAGATCAGCCCAGCACTGTCACAGTAGCATGGGATAAAGAGACCAGCTTCAAGTGTTGAGCTCCCAGATAACACACAAGGTGCATGTATCAAGGGAGGGTATGGCAAATGTAGATCCTTAATGATCAGGTGAAGGGGCCTATTGTATCTAATGATGCCTTATGTATCTGGTAATGGAGAGAGTACCCAAGACAGTCACAGGTGGTTCAGGCCTCTTTCCATCCCAGTGCTGGAGTTGCCCTGAATAGAATGTCTCTTAGAACAGTCATGGTAGTGTTGGTCCAGAAAATGAGGCAAGGATTTTTGTGGGCGATTTATACTTTATTAGGTCAACAGCACAGCTGGGATAGGCTTAGACTTAAACAAGCTTTTGAATGAAGGGGAGAGTGTCCTGTATTAAAAAGCTTGTCTAAGGGGTTTGAGTTTTTTTGTGGGGTGGGGGTTGGTTTGTTTCTTTGTCTTTTTTTTTTTATTCCAACCATGCGGTTGGTCCAGTAAAGTATCAGTCACATAAATCCTTACCTTGGAGTACATTGCCATTTGTTAGGCCTTTGGTGATGGGAACTTGCTCCTTAGGCCAGCTTCTGTGCACTCGTAGTCTAGCTAAACTCAGTGCTAGGGACTGTAGATGATGGCCACCTAGCCCTGAACAACCATGAGTCATTCAATGTGTTGTCTAGTTAATCACATCTTCACAAATCTCAGCAGGATAGAAAGTAACTGACTACAGTTTGAAGGCTACGCTCATTTATCAGTTAGACCTTCCTTTTTATGGGCCAGAAGAGGTTTTGTTTTGTTCTTTTTTTTGTGCTCAAATGCACCATGTTCTACTATAAATGTACTTCCAAGTTTTTGGGAGAACTTCACTGCGTAGTTCTGTACCATTGTGATGGGGGTGGAGGGTGAACTCTTGAATATGGAGTATAACTTGACTCCTCCCCACAGTCTACAAGGACTGTCAAAGTGGGAGCTCACCTTTATATTTCAAATCCAGTAAAACTGGGGGGGTTGTCTCCGTATAACCTAGGTCTGGCTCCCAGCCATGAAGGCAAAGGGCCTGGAAATCTCTGGTACGTTCAGCCGTCAGGTGGGCTCCATCTCCATGGACCTCTTGTTAACTAACAAGGCCCTGCAGGTCATGTCTGACTTTGCCATCCAGTTCAACCGCAACAGGTAAAGTACTTGCTAGGGTTGGGCTTCAGTGTGGCCACTCCATTAACCTGTCTAGTTTAGGCTTGAAGTTTGTTTTTTGTTTTTTAAGTGCAAGACATTGCTCCTGTTGCATGCAGCCGTCTGCAAGCTGCTGTTGGCCCATTGACTTGGGGGGAGTAGAGTTGCTGCAGAACTTGTTGCTGCTAGTTTCAAAGTCCTTTTTTCCAGTAGCTGGGTCCATTGTTAGTTCAACATTTTACCAGGCATGCCGGGCTTGGAATTTAGGATAGAAACCACTCTAGTTGTTACTGGCATCTCTCAGGTGAACCAGCATGCCATACCAGGACTTTAGTCTGTCCTGTCAGAAGTAATGGAGGATGCATGTAGGGAGACAGTGCAGGGTAATAATGGCCCTCCTTTGACTAAAGGGATAGGCAGATGTGAAGAGAAGAAGTTGGTGCAACTAACATGTCACTTTACACATGATTCTTTCAGTGGTAACTTCCCACTAGATTGGGCCAAGTTACCCTGGTTTAAGGGTTTTCACTGTTTATCCACTGTTCTCTTACAGCAATATAATCATGCTTTACAACCTCAGTCCAGTCATCTAATGAAGCCCAACTTCTAAGATTTTTTTTTTGTTGGAATTCAGAAGATCAGACTGGACTGGAGCTAGAAGGAAGTGGCTGAGAGTCCAGTGGCAGACTTATAGCTTGTAGGCCACAAAAGCAGGAACGGCCTCACATGATGATCCTTCTCTCTGAGCAGCTATGGTGATGAGTAAACCTGAGCCTCTAAGAAGTTGACTGAAGAGGCTGTTCCTCTAAGAACAGATTCTCCCTTCCTTCTGGGCATTTTTAATCCAGCTTTTGTATCTAAAAGAATAAGAGGTTGGCAGCACTATGTCCAGGGGCTGCAGGGTTCTTGCTACAAGAGGAAAGGATGCAAAGCATAAGATTCTCAAAGCCTTAGAGACACGGACACAAGTCCCCTGCTTCGCGTTTAGCTAGTGGCCTGGTTGTCATGGTTAAGCAGGAGCTGATTGTGGGGTTTTTTGGTATCAGAATCTGTAATTTGTGTTAGGCATGACAGTACATGTTACCTGTGGCTGATCAACCACGTGGCATGAGGAACTACCTACCCTGATGTTAGGGAGGACTGAGGGTACATGGGATAGCGATGGATGGAATGAGGACACGTATGAGTGCTGGTGGGGACAAGAGGAGTTTTATTGTAAGCAGAAAGATGGATTAGTGTACCTAGTACACCTAGCAGATCACAACTGGAGCCCAGGTTAAACATCAGGTTGGTGAGGTGGAAAGGTAGCTTCTAAATCAGTGAGGTGGAAAGGTATCTACAGGCTGCATGTGTCATCCAAGGAGATGATTCAGGTATGAACAGTCACTAGAGTCCTCCTCCCCCCACTACCTGGCAGGAACTGTAGCCTCTGCTTATAGGCAGCCCAGTGCTAACAGCTGCTTCTTGCCTCTAACCTGCCTGCTCTTCTGGGTGTTCTTACAGCTTTGGCCTGGCACCAGCAGCTCCTCTTCAGGTCCACACCCCTCTAGCTCCCAACCAGTCTGTGGAAATCTCTCTCCCTCTGAACACAGTTGGCTCTGTCATGAAGATGGATCCTCTCAACAACCTCCAGGTAAGTCTGTATGGCAGAGGCAGCACAAAACAGCAAAGGATGCTCCAAAATGTGGATGAGCCTCCAGTTAGTGAGCTATCATCTTTAGAAACCAGAACTGGCGAGGAGGAGAGCTAGCCATTGGACCTGGGCACAAGAGGAAAAAAAGGGCTGTCCAAAAGCCTTTGTGTATTGCTTTGAGCTGAACCCCAAAGCAAGTGTTTGGAGGAAGAGACAAGGGAAAACTGAAAGGTGTGATGGCCTCTGGAAGAAAGGGATTATTTACTCTGTAGCTGTGCCCTTCTAGGGGAAAAAAAGATCCACACTTTTTTGATCTGCTGTGCAGCTTAGATACTGCCCAGCCTCTCTGCTTACAGAGGGGGAAACCGTCCTCAGCGTGGCTAGGTCAAAAGGCCAATGCATTAGTTCTGAAAGCTTCACAGAGTGCTAGTAGGTGGGCATGCTAGCTCTGTTTGGCCAGGGGGAGGTGGTTCCATCTGGTCCTTCTTTATGCCAACTTCTTGGAGGGCATGGGGGCCAAAAGCAAACTGATTACAGGGCTGTGCTATAGTAGGCTTGATGTCGGCTATTCTTGAGTTAAGCAGCGCTGGGAGTTCCTGTGTTACCTGTTTTAACCTTAGCCTGGTAGATCAGAGGCTTGGATTAGAATAGGGAGTTCCAGATTCTGTGCTCACTTTTAGACCACTTAGTCTTGCCTTAAACATTGATATGTATCAGTGCCTGCCATGTAGGGGCTTCCCTGTGAACTGCCTTCCTGCTCCAGATCAGGGAGGAAAAGCTGAAGTCCCTACATCTCTTCCTTGACACCAGGTTGCTGTGAAGAACAATATTGATGTGTTCTACTTCAGCACCTTGTACCCACTGCATATCCTCTTTGTGGAAGATGGGAAGATGGGTGAGTTGATGGAATTTTTCTAGCCTGGAATAGCAGAAGCAGCAGCCATGGTGAGGGTGGGGTGAGGGAAAGGGAGGTACTGAAAAGTTGCCTATACAGGTGTAATTCTGTCACTGTTCAATAGGTGGCATGCTGTTGTTAAATCTAAATCCTTAGTGTGATGCTTCTAATTCTGTGGTTTACACCTCTTGGGAATGAGGGGGATAAATGCCATGCCCATGGTATGTACTCTGAGCATAACATTGGGCATCAAGGTCAAGTTAACATTGGCCTGAACATATCTGCAGGGGGATACTAATGGCCCTCCTGCTTGTGCTGTTAACTCCTGTTACCTATTTCTACTTTGAGCCTGCAACTGTCAGCAGCCAAGCTTACAAAGATACAGTTCAGTTGCTGAACATCACTGGAACAAATTCCCATTTGTTTGTCCTCTAAACAATTGAGTCATCTGTGTTCCTGGCAACAGTTGCATCTAATTTTTTAATGTTCCTGCCTATACTTAGCTGCAGCAACCAGGCTGAAAAACTTAGTGATGTTGCAACAGAAAAGTGCCGAACACAGCAGTAGTTCTGCTTCTGTTGTACGGAGTATTGTTGGAAACTTGTTACCTGTTTTTGCTTCTTAGCGAAATAGTTTAAAATAAGGTGCTAAACTCCTAGGTTGCTGGTAGGGGGGCAGGGAGCTGTGCATGCATACTGCTTTTGTGGTTTGTGCGGTTAATCTTTACATCATATCTTCCTCTATCTCCCCTCCAGAGAGACAGATGTTCCTGGCCACCTGGAAGGACATTCCTAATGAGAATGAAGCCCAATTCCAGATTAAAGATTGTCCTCTCAATGCAGGTGAGTTCAGGGTCATCTGTTCCATGGTTCAGTGTTGGGATTAATCCAGTGAGGATTAAGTGCTATAGGATCAGACAGTAACTGCTTTGTATAGCCCTCATGGAATCCAGACCAGTTGGCCTAGCTGAGGGCTCCTGTATTCTCTTTCACCAAAGTACTTCTCTGCAAATACTCTTGTGGGCAAATGGTTCTTGATTTAACTGAAATGCTAACCTTTGCACAGATACCAGATGGGATTGTGTTTGCTAGGTGGGGATTGGCACTGCTCTGTCTGGGATGTCATCAAAGCACCTCTAATTATTTCCTTGGTTTCATCTCAGTGTTGACCTGTTACACAGCTGTCTAGTCCTGTAACTGCTGCTCAAAGATACAGATTATTCCCATGAACTTGGTTTCTACTTGTAGCCAGACAGAATGCTGAGAGAGTTTCCAGAACAGAAAGCACTGGCTGAAGTGCATGCTCTCAGTGTTAGTTCATAATGTCAGTCTAGAAACCCACAGCTACAGAGTAGTCTCTGTCCTCTGATAGACTTGGGCAACTGCCTGGGAATGGAGGCATTTAGAAGAGTGTTCACTTAATTTCCTTAGCTGTGCTTTAGCTGAGATTCCAAATTAGAACAACCCCCCCCCCCCCCAAAA